TAAATGGGGCATCAGTTCAAGCCAATGCCAAGGCAAATGTATATGGAAGAAAGAGAGGACAAATTATAATAAAAAAAATTATTATACAGTTTATAATGTATCAAATTATATAATTTAAATTATTAAATTAGAATAGATTTTTTAATATTAGAAGCTATCCTCTCATTTAATTATTTTTATTTTGTAATTAAATATAATCTAAACTACAAAATAAGATTCTCAAACTACAATCACATACATGTTAAGAATAATGTGAATGAATGATTTGTATTTTAAGGTTTGACACTTTTCATTTGTCTGTTTTGATGTTTAGTTGAAGTGCTCATTTTGGTTACTGAGGAAGGAAGTTTGAAGAAAAGAGAAGGAAGTTTGAAGAAAAGAGAAGAAAGAAAATGCGAGAATATCATTTTTTTTTTTTCGGGTGGAGTTGAAGATACATGTTAAACCAAATTGAGCTTTAATAGAATTAATTTTCTAAGCAAAACATACCAAATACACTTCGTTTTAAAATGAATGGCGCAATGCATGCCAAAATGCAATCCATATTGACCAATACAATTTAGTGAATCTACATATTATCTAACATTATTTATGCTAGCACGTTCATTTATATGTACGGTTATATAATAATTTAATTAAATGTTAAATATGGAAGTATGATTTGAGACGATATTAAATTTTTTTTATCATTTAATCGAAGATAATAAAATATTTTTCAAGTACGAAAAGTACTTCTATTTATTACATAAAAGATTTGAAATTACATGTACATGAATATTTATAATTTACACCAACTCGTCATTAGATATGTTAGTTGTATACCACGTTAATTAAAGATAAAATTTTTATTTTCAAGTATAAAAAATACTTCTATCCATAGATTAGAGACCACATTCATATGAAATATTATAATTTGCACCAACTCGTCGTCAGATATGTTGGTTGTACACAACCAACCCCAGCCCCAACCCCTAGCCTGGTTATCGGCCCGTTCCTCCTCCCCAAATGGACCAAGTTCCCTCCGTTCAGAAGAATGGTTTGTACTTGAACACCACCCAACACTTAGAAATGACACGAATTTGCCCACCATGCCCAAAGCCTACCCACAAAAAGCTGAAAAGGCCAAGACTAAGTAATACATCTCATGTAAAGCCAACAATTAATACATCTCACATAATTTGTATAAATATATATATATATATTTTATACAAGTGGCTCTTTTTCATTTAAAAATGTGATGTTAATTTTTGGGATTTGAATTATATATATCCCAAAGAACTGCAATGTTATACCTATAATGTAGGTTAAAATATTAATTTAGTCTTTTAATTTTTAAATTTGTATCAAATTCGTGTTTAAACTTTAAAAAGTATAAAAATATCCTTAAATTTTAATTTTTAGTACTTTTAGTCCTTTTCTGTTATGTTTTTGGTTAATGATGTTAACTGACGTAAAAAGAGGCTGACCTGGCATGCTAATTTGCAGATGTGGACTTTTTTTTCTTGTCCGAGTAAACATTTTAGCTTAGTTGGACAAATTGGCCACAAAAACAATTTTTATTTATGAAAATAATTTAGAAATAATTTTTATGTACAATTTTTATATGATTTTATATATCATTTAATGATTGATACCTTTTATTTTATTGAAATATATGATATTATATATATTTATTAATTTAATAATATTTAAAAATTATATAAATAAAATTTACACGAATAAATTATTTTTATATCATTACTCATTTTTATTTAATTTAAATACAATTACATGGACATAAATTAATATTTTTAATTAGTTAATAAATTAAGAATGCAAATTAAAAGTACATTAATTATATGCTTTATTAATTATTAAAAAATAAATATTAATTTAAATTTTATTAAATATCTAATTAAAATTATATGCTTGACATTAGAAATAGAATTATCTTCCGTATTTTTTTTATATAATTAATGCATCATAAATGACAAACACATACATTAAAAAAAAAGAGTAAAATACACAAGGACAGTATTATAGAGATAACTTTTTTATATTATCTTTTAATATAATTTTCACATATCATTAAATGAATTAATGTATTCAATGTCATGAATCTCACATAAATAAAAAAAATTAATAATTTAATAATACTTCAAATTATACTAAAAACTTATACAAAAAAATTATTCTAAAAAATAATACAAAAAAATTATTTTGAAATCATTTTCAACTGGATAATCATCCTTTACACTTCTTAGCGGGTTTGTTTAACTCATTTTATTGTTTTAAAATTTTTATTATCTCTATTTTAATTAAATTTAAATACTTATTGAATTTTAATATAGGAAATGACCCTAATAGCCTTGTCTTCAACCTCTCTCCTTTTCCCTTTCAGATCGACTCTCTCCCCTTCACCTTCCATTTCGACTGTCTTTCTCATTCCATCTTCAGGATATCCAGCGGCACCATTGACGGGAAACTTCAAGTTTCAATAACCAATCAGCAAAGCTCAAATCAAATAAGCACCATCTGATTTAACTCGTTCCTCTAAAACCACCAATCCCCAAAATCCCTAAATCCCAACCCAGTCACTGCCCTGCCCTATCCCTCGTTCATGGCCACCGCAAGAAAGGGATGAAAGGGACTGGGATCTGGCCATGGTTATTGTTGGATTCGAAGGGTCAACCCGAACTGGTGGTCGTGGTGGTGGTGGTGGTGGTGGTGGGCGGGCAAGCACTCAATCATGCGCCGCACCAGTCTACCTGCTCATATTTTCGGATACTCGACCTGCTCCTCTCGTACCCACGAACAATTCTGCGTTGGGAATAGGGAATCATGATCAATTTAGAGCAAATAAGGGCAATCATCTCTGCATAGGACAGGAGGAAAAAACACAAAAAAAAATAGGTTCAATGTGATCGCCCACGACGGCTAGAACAAAGAAAAGTGATACCGGAAATTTTTTTATATAATTTATATATAATATTAAAAAATTTGTCTAATTTATACTTATATATTTTTATAACTAATTTATAAAAAAATAATAAAAATTTATTTTTATTTTAATGTTTTTGTTATATAAATAATTTT